TTAATTTGGTTTTGTTTGGTCATTACCTTCTTTCCTTGTAGACTTTACTGACCTTTAGAAGGTCATTCAAAATGTCAGCGTCACACAATGTCTTACTTATACGCGGATTTACGATTGGTTAAACGAGTTTTCTTCGATTTTTGTGTATACTTTGATGGCTTGATAAGTTGCATTGGCAAATATGGCAATTCCAAGATCGTTTCGACTTATGATCACGTGGTTTATGTTCTTATATATGCAGAATATAGTTTTTTACAATTGTTGATGGCACAAAAAGTTATCTTTATGACGCTTCATTCAGACTTAGTCTTTTAGAAATTATGCTGGCCAAATGTTTTGGGTATGATTTTCTTTGAATTAATCTAATACATGTTTCACGTTAACACACGTATTTCAAGCAAAATGATTATCTAAAAAGCTACTATGTAGCAAATTAAACCATGAACTATTTATTTATTTTGTTAAGTTATTCGTCCAATTATGTTATTTGTAATTGATATGTTGACCTAAGCCATCATCGTAATTTACTCTAGTAAACACTATTTATTTGGACTTCGAAGCCAAACTTTAAACTTATTTTATCTGTGGATGCACGTAAAATAACCGCGAAAAATGACATCTGACGCGCATGACAACTGTCATTTATTAGATACAAACATCAGATCTATAACTTTATGATAAGACAATGAGGTTGTACTAAAGTATAATTTTAACCTATTTTGGTGACTTGATGATGATGTACGGTAGTTTATTTATTGATCTTATATTTATATATTGGTTTTAGTTTGAATTAGTTTTTTCAGTCATGATCACATAAATGATTAGTTTTATTCCGTTAGTAATAGACTGCTGGTTGATGTGACTTTGTAGATACGTTATCTAATTGACATATTATTCTACGTGACCTCAATGCCGTCTAATGCGTAGGTCATTATTGACTCCATCAAAGCAATTTATATAAAAGAGGTAATTGTGGTTGAGTTATTGAAAATTAATTTTAATTTCGTCGTAATTATGATTGAATATTAGATAAAAGTTTGGTTTGAAGTGGACACTTGCCAATTGACTTTATTGTTAATTAGAGGATGTTTTAATTATAAATTACTAGTGACCCGCCCCGGCTTCGCACGGGTGCAATATGCATGTATTATACATATAAACCTTCCTTAAGAATCACTCTATCTATTAAAAAAAACCGCATCAAAATCCGTTGCCTAGTTTTAAAGATCTAAGCATACATACGGACATACAGCGAAAGCGACTTTGTTTTATACTATGTATTGATTCTAAACAAGATTACTACTCGATGTTCCTTTAATGACTATTGCAGTTCGCAATCAGTTTTACTTGCTGAACTGTAGAGTATCTAAGGGGGCGCTTCTGCAATTTGCAATCAGTTTGTTTTACTTACTGGACTGTGGAATATCTAAGGGGATGCTTCTGCAATTTTCAATCATTTTGTTTTACTTACTGAACTGTGGAGTATCTAAGGGGGCGTTTCTGCAATTTGCAATCAGTTTCTTTTACTTACTGGATTGTGGAATATCTAAGGGGGTGCTTCTGCAATTTGCAATCAGTTTATTATACTTACCGGACTGTGGAGTACCTAAGGGGGCGCGGTTCGGTCCTCTAAATAGACCGTCGTCTGACAAATGTTTTACGCCTGTTACAGCTCATTTCCAGGAGTCATGTCTTTAGTCCTTGTTCTAACTAACATTAAGAAAGATTACGTTGCAATTTAAAACAGCAAATTCTTAAAAGACGCTTACAATTGACGCTAGTTAATGATGAATAATACACATCATTAAAGCGCAACTCATTGTCTTTAATCTTTATGAAGTGGGATAATAATTGTTACTTAAAATAGATATTGCGAGATTAAAATAATTTATTCAAGAAAAAAAATAAAAGGCCAGGAGAATGACAATGATGAAGTTATGCTTCTATTTTCTTGACGTTTTGCTTAATTTATAGTCGGTTAGGTGTAAAAGGAATTATATGTTAGTAGATACCTTCTGTGTTTGATCTCTGAACCTGTAATATAAGTACGGGCAATCATTAATATGCTATAACATTGAAAATACAACAAAAGAAGGCGAAATGTTTAAATTGTTCCTAAACAATTTTATAGACGTTCTAAGTCTCCTTAAGCGAAATACGCTGTGAAGCTATCATCTATCTATCAAAGAAAAAACACATCTATTTATAGGTTCTTACACTAAAGAGCATAATAGAATCATGTGTTAAAGAAACATAATAATAAATGTGTTTATTATCTCCAGACAAAGCTATTCTAAAAATAGCACTTGTTGAAGACGGGACTCTTAACGCAGAAAATAAGTCGGATTTCTTCAACGTCCAATTAGCTACAAAAGAAAACAATTCTTTATACATAGAACTTCTATATTTAGCACTACTTTATCTACCTCTGTAAACATTCTTCGTGTTCTGAAAAATAAGTTATACCTAAACAAGATATACCAATACCTAACAAAAGTCAAGTTTCTGGTCTCGTGAAGAGACGACTTGCTTTAGAGCAATTTCTTTGTATGAAATGTGTTCAGTGGGGCTCCATGGCTCAAAGTCTTTTACTCCAAAAACTCCTTAACTCTTTGAGTACCTACCGTCATTATAGACACAATTAAAGAACAATAGGTTGCGGTCACCGGTGTCCTCGCGGTGTTTGACAATTTAAACAGTAGAGTAGAGTAATTTCGCCATTTGACTCTAACTCAGTTAGAATAATGAAATCACTATAACAATGCTACTATTTGATAAAGGAATCAAAAGTCCAAATGTTTGTGAAGTGGACTTTAGAGCGTGACTAATATTTAGATGAACAAAGGACTATTGCGTATGTAAAGCTGGACATTAACATTCAGTGTACATCACATACGAACTTAAGTGGCGATGTACAGATCCTTTTTATACCTATGTTTAATACAAGCGAATAGGAAGGAGGAAAATAGAGATTGCACGTGTTGTCGTATAGCTATGTCGTATATTATGAAAAATGGTTGTGATTATATTGACTCAAGTTACGCAAACGTGGCTTTATGTGGGAAATTGTATGTGCTAGAGTTTAGTAATGCATATTATCTATAATGCAATAATACTAACTATGCTACTAGTAGTAATATAAGTATCGCGGAGAACCTAACGGGTTACCGGGGCTCCGGTTCGGCGTGCAGGAGAAGGAACGGGGTGGTTTTTAGTCAGTAAGAGTCTGACACCCCCTTCCGTCTCACCCAGGCGGGAGCAGTCATTCGATGATTTCCCCCCCTTCAAAAAAAGTAGTAATATAAGTAGAATTGTATAATTGATGCAGTGGCTAGGCAACAGTTGAGTAAGATGTCGCAGACTAGATTCTCCCACGGGATAACTTCGATTGTGATTCATTAATTTTTGTTTTTCAAGTGGCTGTGATGTAAATACATGATTGTTAATAAACCAAAACCCTGTGTGTGTTTGTAATTCTTGTGGAATGAACTATCTCTGGTTGTGTTTCCGAACCCATACGATCTTCATTATCCCTATGAAAGGAGCGTACTCCTTAAAAGGCCGACAACGGACTTGTGCCTGTTCTGGCGTTGTTGGTGTTCATTTCATGGGCGATGATGAATATGATGATCATTTACCATCACATAAGCCGTCTGCTCCTTTGCCCCCTATTCCATTAAGACTCATTACATGGTGAGTAAATTATAGTTTTTAAAAAAGAAAATCAGACAAGGCAGGGCCTTATATGATAAAAAACAAAAAAGTTTAGTAAAGTTTTGATTATAAAATTCACAGACCTTAAAGACCATGATGATTCTATATACAATTTAATCAATACCGCATGCTCTTAGAAATGACTTGCAATAAAATACAAAGTTGTTCCTAAGTTGCATGCAATGGGTGCAATCTACAGGCAGGTACAGGCTATATGAGAAAAAAAACCGGTCGTTTTCAAGGAGATATAATTTAACATCTATATGTTTACCTGTTAAGTTATTGTAGTTATTTGGCAAGTGCAATTCTTACCTCTATAGATCAGTAAAATGTTGTTGAAGTCAAAGATTATTCTTTACTAGCTACTTCCCCGCGGTTTCACCCGCTGTGCTTGGCACCTGTTGATCGTAGCGTGATGTTTTATAGCCTATAGCCTTCCTCGATAAATGGCCTATCCAACACAAAAATAATTATTTAATTCGAATCAGTAGTTTCGGAGATTAGCGTGTTCAAACAAACAAAAAAACAAACTTTTTAGCTTTATAATATTAGTATAGATTTCCTAAGACTGAACACGTCTAAACCTATGTAGCATAACTATACTGAGTAGTCAGATTTTACCATTATCGGTTGACACATAGAACCGATAAATTAATTCTGTCATTCTATTCCACGCCTAAAGCTACTATAATAAAGTCATTTTACAATTTTCTGATAGCAAGCCTATCATTATAGTAATTTACGAAATAATAATAATAAATGGTCACCAGTCACCATTAAAAACAGAAGCGAAAACCAATTATTTTATTTTGAGAATTTCGAAAATGTTAGACGTGGGTCCTTCCGTAGATATGATTATATCGTCGTCACAAACACATATATTAAATGTATTCAAGTATAAAGATTTAACATTTTTTGCACAGGTAGGTCTGTGAACCGTATAAAAACTCGACCTCTAAGCAAAACCACGTTTAATAACTTAATGCTCTGTAATTACTTAAATTCTGAAGGTTGTTCGCTTGGATAATCTGATATTTTATTATGACGACAATATTTATGATCAAGTTTTAAAAAAACGGGTCTAGTTTATTGTCAAGGCTGGTATCTGGATAAGTTTGAATAAGATGAGGAACTTGCATTATCTTTGAGGCTACCTGCAAAACAGAAACATCAGCAATGTCTGACACCTTCTCTTCTCCGTTCCTTTCTACTTTTACTTCTTCATTTTTAATGTCATTTATCAAATCTTCTTTAGCAACTCTAAATTCTTCTTTTCTTTCCCGCAGATGTGAAGACAATTCTCAAGTCGGTCTCTGGCCGACTCCGGTCAGGCGAGCTGACGGCCATTATGGGACCTTCAGGCGCTGGCAAATCCACACTCCTTAATATCCTCACAGGATACAAGTAAGTAGACTTACTATGAACCATTCTATTGTTTCAAGTCCTGCCAATTTTATACCCGATTTGTAAACTTGGCATGGACTCGTTGACTAAGGTGTATTGTATGATGTGTGTGTGTGGGTGTGTTCAAAAACTCACTCAGTAAATTTAGGGTCATCTAGGAGTGTTTGTCTTTTTAAGGTCGTTTGTCAAGTTTCTATAAATTTCCATAAACAAAATAACTGTAGTCGGTAAATACTTGGAACTCTTACGTCATTTGCGTAAGGTAATGTCAAATTATTATTTTTTCTTTTATAAGGTTTTAGGACATACAATGACATAGGTACCAGTGGTTCAAAAATACGTAAATAGCTTAGTATGAAGCGACAAATTAATTAAAACCAGATAATTGTTTCGAATTGATTACGAAGCTCATTTTACGATGGAATCAGATTTTAAAATGGCGATGTTTATGAATTTCAAGTGAATTTATATTGTCTTCTACACAACTAACTGTACTTAAATGCGTTATTCTAAAAAGTATATTATGAATAGATTGGATTTTGAACTGATATACAACTGATTATTGGGAATTTACCTTTCAATGTCAAATAAGCAAATGAATTGTTGCTAAACGTCTTACAAATATTCCGGTTTACTTTGTCGAACGTAGAAATCGCATAATATGTGAATATGACGCACTTGCCTATCTGGTTTATTTGCATATAATTTTCTCAAAACGTGTATTCAATTCTATAGCTGCCAGATTATCAACCCTAGTGTATTTGATTTAAGGAACAAAAGATATTTGCAATTTCTTATACTCATTAATTACCCTGATACGTCATTCCCGTAGTTCTACTACGACTTTAAACTATATTTTCTAACTTACATAATTTCTATCTACTAATTCTTATGTATTCGTTCATATACCTATTATGTACATTTGTGTTCTCCTAGTGCCATCGTTTCTAGTATACCTACTTGCCAGCTTGCGACATCTGTGTTATGCAATTTGAACACACAAGCAAACTATGACACAAATACTTGTAGATGGTAATTTCTGTCATGAATAGGACTTTTATAAATCATTACGTTTTCGACTTACTCACGTAATTATTTGACGAGGAACTCGACTAGTTTCAAGCCATGCTAGAAGCTCATATTCATGAGCAGCATTTCGGAACCTGCGACGCGGCAACTGTCGCGTTGCTACTGAAAACATAATAATTTATTTAGTATGTCTCCCGAAAGTTATAATGTTGAAAAGACCAACATTTTTTTCCACATTTATGAAATTTTGTGTCATATTTGTAAGACCCCGTCGCGTGTAGTTACAGCAGACGGGTAGAGTGGAATAAGTATATTAGTTACTAGTCTAGTATACCTACACCGCTCGTGGATGTCATAAGACTAAGGAACTACCCATTTGGTAGACCAGACAGCAACTCTATGATATTCCCAAACATTTTAAATTGCGATTTCCTACGGCTTGGAAGGCGAGGAGGTTATGGCCAATCGTCTTATTTAGAGGCAGCCCATTATTCGACTGTGGACTGTAATAGGCTGATGATGTTGATATTGATGCCCTTTACATAATGATAGGTTTAAAGATCTGACTGCCTCGTTGGCCGAGTGGTCGCAAGTGCGACTGCCAGACAAGGGGTCTCGGGTTCGATTCCCGGGTCGGGCAAAGTATTACTGGGTTTTTTAATCATTCTCAGTAGTAGCACGGAGTCTGGAATTGTGCCCGGTATATGGCAATTGACTTACTACCACCTATTACATGGGACTCATAACATAGATAATGAAAGGTGGGTGGCATAATGTACACCTCAGCCTACCCCTTCGGGGATAAAGGGCGTGATGTTATGTATGTATGTTTAAAGATCTTTCATAAATGTGTGAAGATGTTTCCCATAAATCTTCAAAGCCATTCACGTAGAACTGGCAACACATATCTCATTGCTTTTAATTACAAAGAAACTTGATAGGTACTTGAAGTAATTCTTTTTAATTTGTACCTTGTTGTGATCACGTGTCTTCTACGACTATAAATCCTTCAAATTCGTGATCGGAGCCAGTTTTTTTTGAAAACACGTTTCTAAACACGAATTGTTTTCAAGATTCTTACTCTTGTTGCGGAGATCCTAACGGGTTACCGGGGCTCCGGCTCTAAGTGTAGGAGTATAGAACGGGGTGGTTTTTAGTCAGTAAGAGTCTGACACTAAGGGTGTTTTTAATATCGTGCGGATATCATCACGCGTGCGGGATTGCCCCGCATGCGTAAGCCCCGCAAATGTCCTTTTCATAAAAGTATTTATTATAATGCGTGGAATACGGACGCGGGACTATAGACTATCGGGTTTCACGCTGCGTGAAATTTTCTGCATGCGGGGCAATACCGCACGCGTGACGAAATCCGCACGATATTAAAAACACCCT